AAATCAAACAGCCCTTTGCTGTACGTGGAAAAGTGGAATGTATCCACTTGCATAAACATTTTGTTACAGGTTCTCATGTGCCTGAGTCTTATTTTTAATCCTAAGAGAGAGAACCTACTAATTTCTACATTTTATTCTCTCAGTTGTTGACCATAGTATAAATAGCTATGACAGTCATTGAATGAGAAAGTGTCGGGAGTGGGAAATACAAACTAAAAGCCTAAACGTGTGCTTTTTCAAAGTATGCATTTTGCTTCTCCTGGTCGGAGTATTTTCCTGCTAAATTCCCCAACTTAGTGGTTCTTTACCTTTGCAGGGTTCTTGCACAAGTCTCATGTGAACTTGTTCCCCCCAAACCAAACCGGCCTACAGAAGGGATCCTTTTCTTTAATCTTGAGCTCTCACCAATGGCTGCACCTGGTTTTGAGCCTGGCAGGTATGTAGCTTTCTTAAAAAGACTGATGAAGGATGACATAAGAGCCACTGTTATGATACGTATAAGTATATAGCCCAGTCGTATTCAGTTTGGGTTGATTTTGTTTTAACAGGCAATCCGAGTTACTGGTGAAACTGAACAGGCTCATAGAACGATGCTTGAGAAATTCCAAATGTATAGACACTGAATCTCTCTGTGTTGTTGCTGGTGAAAAGGTACGAAGAACTACTCATTTCAAGTGGTTTTAAACTAAAGGGTACGTTTAGTCTATTTTTAAGATGGTCCCTGGCTTGTTTTGGAAACTAGAGGTTCTGATTTTAGGTTAATCTAAGGATCCCCACATCTGACTTCACAGGTATTTTTAACTTCAGGTATTTATGTAGGCTTTCTGAAGTAGTTGGGATCCTGCACATTGAAACATTTCTCTGCAGAATAAAGTTTAAATTGTACTTAGATGTTATGTGTTTTGTCATAATTAACCAGGGCTAAAATCCAGTGCACTGGGTATCTTGGAATATATCAAGATCTGTCATCTTCTTAAGCAAAGACTTGAAGAATATATGCTGGTTCTTGTTATGTTTCAAAAAACGAAATTGTTTGGAAAAACAGTAACTTCTGTAGAATCGTGTCACAAGTTACCAAGTGGTTTTGTATGCTTTTTCTCAGGTTTGGCAAATTCGTCTGGACCTGCACCTGTTAAATCATGATGGAAACATTATTGATGCTGCTAGCATAGCCGGAATTGTAGCGCTCTGTCATTTTCGCAGACCAGATGTGTCTGTGCAAGGAGAGGAAGTAACTGTGGTAAGTTGTACTGGATCATAGTAAATGTTGTGGCATCGCAGGTATCTCGTTCTTTCTGTCCAAAAGGGAGAATTAAATGTTTGCATAAGCAGATAAAACTCCGAGAAACTTAAGTTTTAGGGATAGATGTGTTGTTATTCAAAATGTGAAAGGATAAGAGGGAAGCCTGCTGAATACAGAATTTTATCAACCTCCATTTATGGGAATAGTAATTATAAAAGATAAGTATTTTACAGTATTTCAACCAAATCAAGCAGTAACACTTATGAATGTCCTATATTTACCACTGTAGGTAGTAACCAGTAAGAACTGCACAAGAGGAGTAAAAGGCATTTTTTTAATGTTCAAATGACTAAGCATTTATTAGTCTTTTTTCCTTTGTTTTTTTTATTTCTTTAAATATCTTTGTATGGTATGTAATTTTAAAATTAAATCTGTTTTGTAAATAATTGTCTTCTGGGCCAATTCTTTTCAAAGTACTCTCCTGAGGAACGTGATCCAGTCCCCTTGAGTATCCACCACATGCCTATTTGTGTCAGTTTTGCCTTCTTCCAGCAAGGGTAAGATTTTTGTCTTTTGACAGAAACAGCTTATCCTCAATTCTGCAGAATTGATTGTAAATATAGAAGAGTCCTAAAAAATACTTATATTAAGTCAATTTCTTAAAACATGTTTTCTGAAGTGAAGTGCCATGGGGAGACACTTACGTGTTCTGCACAGTGTAACTAATGAGCAGCTTTCCACAGATGATGTGGAAAAACTTTTGGGGGGGAGTATACCCATAATTGCTAATACATAAACCAATTCCTTTGTTTAATTGTTATAAGGGTGGTAACTCACCTCAAATTTTTACTGTTGCCTTATATTTAAAAACTTGATTCTAGGACCTATTTATTGGTGGATCCAAGTGAACGCGAGGAATGCGTAATGGACGGCCTCCTGGTAATTGCCATGAATAAACACCGTGAAATCTGTACCATCCAGTCCAGCGGAGGGATTATGCTAGTAAAGGATCAGGTAAATCTTTGCCTTGACCAGTCTTTCTCACGTATATAAACTAGTTCCTGTGCTGTAATCTCGATCCTGAAATACCCTTGACATTCAGAAGCTAAGAAATCAATTACCTGTCTGATTTAATTCAGAAAGATTATGTGTTTTTAGCCGTAGCAGAAAAGTGTAGTGCTGTGCATCGTGCTGAAGGAGAGAGGTAGAAATGGCACATTGTTTGGCCAGATGCGCGTTCTTTTTTTAACCTGGGATTAGGCTGTAAATTCATTCAGACTGCACTCTCATGAGTAGCTAGAAGCTGTTGGTATTAACCTTTTGCATCAACTCTTAGTGTACCAAGTCCCTCATACTAAGATGCTGTGTTTTATTTTAAGTGACTCCTATGATGTCCTCTGGTTTTTGTTAAAAACATCTTCCTTTCGTGATCGTAGACTCTTTTTGTATGTGTAACAAACAGGTTCTGAGATGCAGTAAAATAACAGCTGTTAAGGTTGCAGAAATAACAGAACTAATTCAAAAAGCTTTGGAGAACGACCAGAAAGTTAGGTGAGTGTTTTGGGAAGGAAGGGAAATGGGTATTTTTAAGAAACCTACTAAAAAGTAATATCAACCTGTAGTTTGAACAGCAAATTGGTTTCACTTGTATTTGTTTTAAATAGCAAGTATATTTGAACTTGAGAAAGCATTTTGAAGTGTGAAACATCCTGAAATAATGTCTGTCACTGAATGAGTAGGAAAGAAGGCGGGAAGTTCGGCTTTGCAGAATCTATACCGAATCAAAAGATCACTGCCTTCAAAATGGAAAGCGCTGCTGTCGATACCAACAATGTGGAAGAGCAAGCAGAAGAAATCATCACTAAAGCTGACCCTCCTTCAGAAGTGTATCTTTTCTGCTGTGTTATTCAGGGGAAAGCCAGGCTTCCCGTCCCCTGCATTAGCACTACGAGAAGCTAAACACACATCTGAGGTTCCTCACAGCTTAGGTGGCTTTATAGCCTTCAGAGGAAACGCCAACATTACATTGGTTTTCTTTCTAGCTGCTTTGAGGTAACTTAATTCCTAGCATAATGCGCAAAACTGAGGTCTGAAGTGACAGGCTGTTACAGTAGCTGGAGAAGACATACTCTCTCCCAACTCCCCTTTACGTGTGTTCTCCTCTGGGGAGTCAAGGTACAGCTTAAAAAAACCAGCTGGTTTGCTCTCAGAATACAAAGGGTTTACCAGCAAACACCAAGGTTTTTCTTAACTACTTCAGTTTTGCCAAACCGATATTGCACACTCCTGGGACGGCCCAAATTGGGGAGGGAATAGAGAACTCCTGGGGAGACCTTGAAGAATTGGAGAGGGAAGAAGCAGCGGAAGAGGAAGGCGAAAGTGAGGCTACTGCTTTTGAATGTCAGAAAATGGAAATTGAGGATACAAGTACGACAAAGGAAACTAAGAAGGGTGAATATTTCCTTCTTTTGATACCAGATTTGCTTATGTCACTTTATTGACAGTCGAGTTAAAATGTGAAAGAGGTCCTTAGCAAGAAAGCAGATCCATTGTAGCCGCTTTCCACTTGAGAGTTACACCCATTTGCTACTTTCACTTCACCTGGTCACTTCTGTTTTCTGCAAAAGAAAACTTGATTTCTGTAGTATAGAGAGGGCACCAAATTAAGCGCTAGGCACTCAATGTTTCTTTAAAAATGCTGGGGTTATTAGTTACTGGGGTGGTTTGTACAAAACTGATCACCAATTTGTGGTTTGTTTCTTCGGGTTTTTTTTCAGATGAACCTATCGTACTGTCTACCAATTTGTGGTTTGTTTCTTCGGGTTTTTTTTTTTTAGATGAACCTATCGTACTGTCCGACAGTGAAGAGGAAGAAGTTGTCATTCTGGAACCACAGGAACTACCAAAGAAAACAAGGTAACCATCATAGGAAATTAAGAGGGGAAAGGAGTTTATAAGGAGTGTTTTCAGGAAGCACAGGATTTTGGCAAGGCCAAGAAAGGTCTCGGTTGATCGAGGGGACTACATAGATAGCCAAGAGTAAGGAAGTTTAAATTGAGGCTAGTTTGCTCCTGTCCTAGGAGGCCAGTCAGTCATTCTGGCTGGCCTGCAACTGTCTGAGATGGTTATAGATACTTGACTGACCTTCATCATTCCAAAGGGAGGGAGAGCATAAAAGTGGCTTTGAATTGGCTGCTCCTTAAAAGATGCTGCAGAGATTCTACAGGCTACGCTACAGCTAATCTTAAGTTTTATCTCCAAGAAGTGAGATTTATTGCTGTATCCCTGCACTAGCCACAGAAACCTTTGTTTTTGCATGTATGTTTGTAGAAACCAAGTCTGAAATTTGCAGCGAGCGTGGTGGATGGTGGTGGATGGTTGCCCTCTTATGATCAGCCTGCGTTCTTTTGAAATAAAACTATTATTTGGTACATTTCTTTTGATACAAATGTTGTTTGCTCACAGAACGCAGACCAACCCGAAACCAGAAAATACAAGTAAGAAAGCATTTAACAAAAGGAGAAAAAAGAAGAGAGCTGCTCATTAAAGGCATCATCCTTCAGAAATGCTGTACAATACATCATTTGGTCTGTCATTACTGAACGTATTTTTGTAGATAGTTTTATTTCCTCCCACCCCATATCTGGTTCTGCTTTTATGTGTATTTTATAAAACTATTGTAATGTGGCTTTAAGTAAAAAAACTTTTGCATGTAAGTGAGTGAAGTTCCATGGTTAGCATCCAACTGCAGCAGCAAACTCACTACTTCACCTTGCACTGATCTAGTTACACAGAGGTAAGATGCAGTTTTCTTAATGGAACAGCCTCTGCCCTTACCCATGTGAGCCATGTGCAGTCAGAGTTCAGGTAGTGAAAGGAATTATGGCTCAAGTTCTGTGCCAGGAAAAGCTTTTAATTAAGGTAGCTATTACCGCATCTGGGAAGCATAACTGGGAATGTTCGTCATGGGGGGAAATGGTGTGCTGTGACAGAGACCTTCTCCCTGGCATCACTCCACATCTTAACTTTCACTGAAACTGCTCTGTCTAATAATCAACAGCCATCCGTGTGCTTAACAAAATGGCATAGACCTTCTGCAAAATTTTCATAGAGAAGCAACTTGTACTGGAGTTTGTTAAAAAGTTTAATTACATATTACATGCAACAGAGGGGAATGCTTCTTGAACTATATTCAGAGAATTATGCTCTGAATTTAGAATCAGGCAAAGCAAGGAGACAAGGAGGTTTCTGAAATACCTGACCAAGCTGCTTTGTTCGAAAACCAAATCAAATGGGAAACATGCACGTATTTACAAGAGCAAAGTAGGACTATTTTACATATGACCTTAGTATTTCACAAAATATGAACAGGAGAGAAGTTACTGTTGCAGGTATTAAATTCCCCAGATCAGGTTTAGAATGTAATGTTAAAAAAAAAACCTGCTCCCAGCCAAGCAAAGCCCCATTTCCCTGCAGGAGCTAAACCAGTGTTTCCTGAGTATCCGTTCTTCCAACCCAAAGTCACCGTTGGTAGTACCAGAATGAGTGAAGATTCAGTTTCTTCTTACTTCCACAGTACCACGTGACCTCAGAAAAAAGGTGTTCTTTGCACTGCTGTTGCTTCTTTACCCCTAACACCTCATAGGCTTCATTTTGAAAGGAGTAGGAGAAGTTAAACGGTAGTACAGTGCCACCTGGGATATTTTGTTCAAAGCTTAGTAGCAAGAGCTAGAATCATCCCATATTAACTTTGGAAAAATGAGAAGATGGAAAAAGATACTTACTGCAGCAGCAGGAGCTGTCAGTGAGGAAGGAGGAACATAGTCATACTGGGCAGAAATGCCAGCCCATGATGGAAACATTTATTATTTTTTTTCTTTTAGGCTGTAGAGGAAGTCCTATTGGTATGTTGAAAGCTCAGGGAGCAAGGAAGAAATTTTCTCTGTGCTATGGGAACAGTAACAGAACAGCTTCCCTTGACAAATTGAGCAAGGAGACATTTCATTAAGCAGTAAATTAATGCTGTAAGCCACTGTAGTCCTTAAGTACTGCTCCTTGCTCCTTTCTGAGGAAAACAATTCATAAGCTTCCTTTAAGTTACTCCTCTTGCAATGTTCATATTTTTCAATGGTCTTGGAAAATTTCCAGCATACACCACAAGAAAGAAGGGGAAGGCAGAACCCAGTTTCTCAGGAAGAGCGCGGTGCTCTATTGTCTTCAAAGACTAATTGCCAGTCAGCATTTTGAGTTGCCCTTCCAAGGTCACAAACCGATGTTGCAGCTTAGGGCAAACATGTTCCTGGATACACAGATTCCCTCTCCCGCAAGGGTAGAGCACTTCCAATACTAAGCACCAGACATGATACATTTTACCCCAACTAGTTCTAGTTTTCCAGTGGCAACCTACTGAAATTAAGCTAAATAAAGGCTGTTGGGGAACACGGTACACCACCAATGAAACACGGTTCTTCATTAAACATTACAATGTGTAAAAGTCAAAGGGCATCCTAAAAAGCTCAGACTGGCCAAAAAAGGCAGCCTCTGGTGCATCCTTTTGTCTTGACTCTGTCAGTTTTGTGACCCAGTTGGCTCTTGAAGGGCTCAGACTGCAGAGCAGGGGCAGAACAGCAAGCTTTTTGTTACTGCGCAGAGACATGCAAGTCATCTCGCGGTAACATGTGCTTGTCAGCTTAACAGGGGGCTGATGACTTTTTAAAAATTTTAAATAGCCACCACCATAACAGCTATTCAACATCTGCAAAGAGTTTATGCTGCTGCCTGCTGGGTGTCCAGATAAGCAGGCAGCACTGAATCAACTTCAAGTTGAAGCGACACAGCTTTCGCAGGGCAGTGCTGGCCAAAAAGCTTCAGAAATGAACACCAGTTTAAGACAGCGGCACTACCCCTCAGTGGTTTTAAGGTATCGGCAAGACCACTAACAATCAGATGTAAAAAATTGTTTATTAGCCAACCTGGAAATGGCTTAATTAAACCCACTTCCATGCACATGCTGCTTTACATGCAAAGAACAGCAGCACCGCTCCATTTACACAGGCTGGCAGGGCCACTTGATCTAATGCCGATGATGTGCTGGTTTGCTTGCGTAACAGTTCTAGAACTAAGGAAAAATAAGACCAGTTGGCCTAATTTTTTTGATGCATGCTGCAGAGAAGCCCTTTCCAAGCAAGAGGGATGCACGGAATTTGTACCATTCTGCCCGTAGTCCATCCACACCAGAAGACGTTCCCTCCTCTTGAGGGCACAGAGCAATAGCTCACCCTCCTGCAGTTTAATCCCTCCACCACCCCTAAAGAGGTACAAGGTAAGCAGGCTGATGACTTTTTTTTTTTTTTTAGTAGATATCGATGGGCTTTTGCCATCTAACACATCACTGGGAACTCCATGGCTTCAAATTAGTATCAGTTTTAGGCTCCGACTAGAAAATACCCTTAGCAAGACTATTTTCTACGTACTGGAAGAGAGAAGCACAAAGTGGTATGGTAGTTTTAGCCATTCAGTCCCTGCAGCAGAGCGTTCAGCCTTTAATCTGATGGAGATCTGGCAGTCAAGGCTTCCAGTAACTGCCACATTCTGAAAAGCCTCACAAGAGTCAACTCCAGCAAGGTGTTCCCCTCATAGCTATGAAGTTTCTTCCAGTATTACAGCCATGAAGCCACATTTTGGATCTATACTAACTCTCAGTTTAAACTAGACAGTATAAAAATGCTACAAATACTGCTGTGGAGTCCAAGTCCTTCTTACTTGGAAGAAGAAAAAGCCCTACTATAATAATGCACTGCTAATATTAATGTTTAGTCTATCATTAGATAAGCAGTCTCAGACATCACTTGGTCTGCATGGTTAATTTTGTGCTCGAAGAGAACATTTTTATAAAAACCCAGCTAAATATTTTAACAAGATTGCATGTACAAAAGATTTACATTGAAACCACATAGAACTAACTTCATAATTAAGCTCATCAAAACCTGTATTAATATTCTGAGTGATCACATCTAGAATTTTGAACCATGTTTAAAACTGTACATCATTTTCTTGTAATATACATCTCTTTAAAAGATCAGTCTCTTGATTATTACAATAAGTTTAGTGTCTCTGGTGGGTCAATAAGCGATACTCCATGGTACCTAGAGAGGGAGAAAAAGATGCAGGATGTCATCTTGCTCAAGTGCCCTCTGCCGTAAAGAATAGCACGCATACTGCAGCGAAGCACACCTCTTAAGGCAGAAAACATTTTGGGGCTTCTCAGCTGCCACGCCGACGCAGATTTTTAGGAGCATTAGGTACCACCTCCTGCTTACCAACTGTAGGAACATCAAGAAAATTCCTCCAGTTTCTACCTGACAGTTCAGGTAGTGATAGCAGGCCTGGTGGTGAACACCAAGTATTGCTCAACAAAACATTATGCAAAAACCTGGGGAGTCTTGTCACCATTTCACTTACACGGTAGACGCGGTTAGTCGAGTCTGACTGAAGACCCAAGATACACCCCACCCCATTAAGCCGTTCCGTGCTAGGACAACTCGGGCATAATGCACCAGCTATCGCACATCTCTACAGATACTCACTTCGTACTCTTGTACTTTTCCCTTATGGACTGTTGCGTGTGCTGTGCTGCTTTGAGGTAGGTCTTGTGTAGGTCCATGAGGCAAGGCTTGATGTCTTCGAGGGTGTAGCCTGTTACTTTACACAGGGATTCAGGCTGAGGGGAAAAAAGAAAGGAAGAGGGAGATTGGAATGTTTGTGTTTGCTTATGCTGATGACCCACTCTTGTTCTAGTAGGCTGGCAGAGCCTCATTTTCTCAAGCACAAAGTAGTTCAATAGTCACTGCTCAGATTTTAGCAGTTCGTGTAGAGTTACAGTAATCCTGAAAACTATCATATTCTAAACAAGTATTCCTTGCCTCCAGGGCTTAGGCTTTCTTACCGCCCACTTCCTCCTCACAAGGAAGCCACTTACAGCTTTGAGGAGGATCATCAGAACAAAGCGCATCAGTGGATGCCTCTTTCTTCCAAGAAAAGGTGCTGCCCTCCCCCACCATTTTTCAAATACCATAGGGAGCAATCCCTAATTAACAGCCTAGGAGTACAGCCCAGGCCCCAGCACTCAGGATTGCTTATGAATATGCTAAAGGTGCATACAGGTACGTGAAGGCTCCGGTTTTAGTGCTACATACCCAAGTTTGTCCAGTGATTGTATAGCCTGCTAGATGAAATGCTGCAGCAGCAATAACTGATGGCAAGTATTTCAGGTAAGGATCAGCATCGATTAAACTCAGCTCCCCAAGGTACTGCAAGGGAAATGAGAGAAAGGGAATCATCTGCTTCTAAAAGGAAATAGAAGAACATTTAACAGTTGCACTGGAACCCTAATTTAAGCTTCCAATCCTGCCATCAGTTGGAGGAACAGCTTTTACTAGTTTCCACTTACTTTCTCTTTTAGCATCTACTGTTAGCTACCGTTGCCAACTTGTGCGTTTTCAACACCTCATCTTATATTCAGAAGCCTCTGGATTTTTGAGCTCGTTGAGGGGAAAACCAAAACAAAAATCCTTTTTAGCCAAAGTGGGTGGGTAGGTCTGGCAGTTTTAGGTAAGAAAGAAGGAAACATCTAGCAGTGAAAAAACATCCCAATTAAAGTTCATCCGTCTCTACCTGCTCAGAGTAAGCGTGCACACTTGAGCCAGGCCAAGTGCCAGCCTACGACAGGAATGGATTATCTGTCTCGGATGGAGTACCTCAAACAGTAAATGGCAACAGGAGCGTTAAGTTGCCGGTGGTGCGGCACCACTTCTGGAGGAGCACATGGCATATCGTACACACTCTCCAGAAGTTTCCCAGAGAGACTACACATTTAAAAATAGGAGAAGGCAGGGAAGCCTGGACCAAAGAATCCTTTAGCATGTCTTTTCTACTGGGACTAGGAAACAGTTTGTAAAGTGCATTAACAGTAACAGAACTCTCTAGTTACACGGGCCAAGCTAGTGATTCTTGCTTACCATTGATAGGCTCTCCACTTTAGCATTTGTCTGCTGATGCAGGAAATACTGAGTGAGAAACTGGTTGATTGTTGGAGCTGCCAAGTCGAACGACAAAACCTTCAAAATTAAGTGCTCCATCCTTAGAACCTGCTTCTTGGTATAGGTGTCATCTGTGATGTAGACAAACTCTGCCACTTCAGGAGGGTAGATCTCTTCAAACTTTCTGCCAGGAGAAACAGTTATGAGCAAATAATTGAATACTAGAAAACCAGACAACCAGCAACATTCAATGAAGGCCAGCATGCAAATTCAAATCCCAACCTGGGCACTGTTACCGAACAAGTTTGCTGGACTTGGTTCAGTAGCTCTTGAATTGGCAGAATTTGAAATTACAGAGCTACAACCGCCTGACATTTTAGCACTAAGCAGTTTGGGCCTGCCTCAGAATTACTGAAATTCCAGAAGAACCCGCTAAACTAATAATTGGTGCAAGCAAAATTTTCCTTTAACGCGCCTTGTGTGCATATTCCCTCAAATACTGTGTGGAAGCCTTCTGCTGCTGCAGCTAGAAATAATCCTCACCTTAGGGCAATCTACAAATATATCCTAGAACCTTGCTTGCAGAGTTTCACACAAACTGTCAAGCTTTTAGGTGGACAACTCCTAATTTTCCTTCTGTCGTGAAGCCCTCCTGAGTCAGTCTAGCTATAGGCAACAGAAACACGACAGCCACAAGATTTCCACCTGTATGAGGCCAGCAGGTAGAATTTTAAATTAAGCAGTTTCACTTACGATGCAAGCAGCATAGCTGCAGTACCCACAAGCTGAAGTTTTCCTCTCAGAACAGACATTGAAGAAAGAAACCTATCAATGTAATTTACAGCTAAGTGCAGGGTTTCGTTCTGCAGTTTGTATTCTTCTCCAACTTCCACCAGCCAGTCCACAAGAATAGCCCGCATGTTGTTTGTGATATCAGGTTGCTTCTTCATGTAACCCATTTTAGGCTTGCATTTCACCTGTAGGTTTAGATGACAGATAAGATTGAGTTTGGACTAAGTGCTGGTAGGGAAGCAACTGTTTAAGCTCCATGTACCACAGCTGAAACAGATCAGAGGTAAACAACGGTAAGTCTAGGATCAGTAAGTTATATTTCTGCAGTCTTGTTTTCCAGCTTCTGTTCGGTATGTGGCAACAACCAACTTTATCACAAGAAACGGGTCTTGTGTTCACAGCGTCTTATTTCTCTATTTCTAGCAAGCTTTACTTAGTCACTGTAGTAGTAACTAGTGTTTAGACACATTTCTCAACCCCCAGTTTCTCCCCCCACAAGCTGTGTGCAAACAAGAAGAGACAGCAGCTCACCTCCATTTCCCTAAGGTATGTATGGATATCGTTGATATAGTCTGGCACGTTATTAACGTTTGGTTTTTTCTCTTCTGGTTCCGAGGTTATTGAAATATCCATAATACTTGGAGAATCTAAGCAGAAAATAATAGCCATGTTAAAACAGGCACTGTCAGACCACTCCCTCGCGGCACAGGGAACTACCCTGTTCCACAGCCTGCTGATGGTGGCTCTCCAGGACCCCTGGGCCTCTTGCCTCCTGGGCAGGCAGAGAGGACAGACCCTCACTCAACTGGACTGGGAGTTGAGGAGGCTGTAAGGAAGCCAAAACATTGCTATGACAAGGAAGCTTCCCATTCCTCTTTTCTTCCCGCTAGGAATAAAGGGATGGAAAATTGTTTTGTAATTATGTAGTGCTCAGTGCATCCTATGTTATCTTGTTACATAGGTGTGAAACCCATAAGCTTAGATATTGCAGCTTAAACCAGGACTGGGGTACCAGAGCTTTTTGTGGACTGCAAAAGCGGGCCATGAGGAAATCAATCCTCAGATATTCACGCACGTGTTACAGAAGATGGATCCGACAGCTGCCATGTCTTACCACTAGGAAGAGCTCAAAACACTTGCACCAGTACAGGGTATTAACTGGCAGAAGAGTCTGTTAAGTTTCAGGATCTGCCCAAGTAATGTCCCCTTCTAACTCCATAGCAGTAACAAAGGGTGAGGTTTTAAGGGCTGCTCTTATCAGTAATCTGGTTCCCCTCAATAGTTAAGGTCAGAAGCACAGAACTACCTACACAGGGCAGGGGATGGAAGTGTAGGGTCTCAAAGCGATTGATAGCTCAGCTAGATGGAAAAGCTGTTGTATCATAACGGCAGCCTCAAAGGAACCAAATCAGTTTCAGCAACTGGAGATGTATCTTCCGAGTCCCACGAACCCAGCCTACGGCCCGAACAGCTTCAGGATCTACAGTCATCCTCCTCCGCTTTGCTCCGGGAATCATTGAATCATAGAATGGTTTGGGTTGGAAGGGACCCCCAGAGGTCACCTAGTCCAACCCCCCTGCAGGGAGCAGGGACACCGCTAACCAGATCAGGTTGCTCGCAGCCCCGTCCAACCTGGCCTTGAATGTTCCCAGGGATGGGGCCTCCACTACCTCTCTGGGCAACCCGTTCCAGTGTTTCACCACCCT